AAGGTCGCCGTTTGGGTCGACCAGATAGGTATCTATTTGGGAACGACCAATAGTGCGACCTATATTTTTAGTGACTGCTCTTACGGTCCCTACACATACCGTACTTAAACACAGTTTTGATCATAGCAGTTTTTACTTGAAGGGTACAGTACTAGCTATTAAGGTGGTCGCCCAAAAGTAGTAAGCCAGCTGTAGTCTGGTGGAAGTAATGACGTTCGAAAACATAGGATCTTTCGCATATGTACGGAATTTGGAATCTCGCTCGTTCGTATAATCACCGGATAGATTGAAGAACCTGGAACTCACCGGATTCGAGCCAAAATTCGACGTTCGCGCACCTATCCTAGCTTCACCTCTAAGTCTTTCGTTCATGTGAGAGCCAGTCGACCTATCCTGTAAGCGCCAAATTTTAGATTGTTCTCGAGCCCGAAACATATGTTTGACACAAAGGCCCGCAACAGTGTGCACCTCGTCACAATAATAGTACCGTTGTGGCATAGACTGACGGCAAATGGAAACTCCCAACACAGACAACAGATGCAACTACTGGAGGGTTACTCCTGGAGCTGAATCAGCTAAGCTAGCTTCCAAGGAAGGCGATTGGAACATTCCTGGAAGTGGCTTTAGCTCTGTCACTACCCGGACAAGGCATAATGGCGCAGGAAGGCCAAATTTGCAACGACTTGAGTACGGTGAGGAGGCGAGCGGTGACGAAGAGGATCCAACAGCACCGGAGTTTATTGAGCAGGCTCTTGCTGTCGAAGATGCCACCACCGAAGAGGAAAATGATGAACCAACGGTGCCTATTTTCAACACAAAGCCTCATGAAAGAGTCATTTTGGAAGTCGAGCAACTCAACGAATGCTTCAAGCAGCAGCCTTGCCGCAGAGACGACTGTGACGGGTCTCTCCAATTCGTCATCCACAATTGCTGCATTGCGTCCTCATTCAAATTGGTATGTACGAACGAAGATTGTGACTACATATTCACTAGCAGTAAGCCAAGCAACACAACAATGCATGGCGTCGGCAATGATAAGTTTGAAAGAAGCACCGACTCAGCCATCAATGTATTGTTCGTTTTGTGCAATTTGGCAAATGGCAATGGTGGTACCGAAGCAGCCAAAATCCTTGGTCTTTTGGGCTTGCCGAATGACACAACTATGCAAACTCGTTCTTTTGGAATGATCGAGGAGCGAATTGCCCCATCCATCCGGGAATTGACCGCGGAAGTCATTCGTGACAATCTAATCGAAGAGGTTCGCCAAACCACGGCCAATGAGCAAGACTTTTTAGACTGGATGACAGCTTTGAGCGATCCCAACGGCACATTACTGAAGGAGAAAATGCCATTTGTTGATGGTGGATACGATATGGCGTGGCAACAGAAAGGATCGGGTCATTTGAGGAACTCTGTTTCTGGTCACGGTGCTATTGTGGGTGCTAAGACGAGAAAGATCATTTCGTTCGGCCTCAAGAGTAAGGTCTGTAGCAAATGTGATGCCTGGGCGAAGCGTCATGCTGATATTGAAACTGCGGACCGCCTACCAGTACCGCAGCACCACTGTACACGGAACCATAATGCACAAGATTCGTCAGGATCTATGGAAGCGGCTCTTGCCTTGGAACTGGTTGTTGATCTGTTCCGGGAGTCTAAAGTTATCTTGCGACGATTGTGCTGCGACGACGATTCCTCCATCCGAGCTGACTTGCAGTGGAGCAACGCCAACTACAAAATCAACTATCAAACGGATGTCCTCCCACAGGTGAAGATTACGAAGGGGAAGAACAAAGGCGAGCTCCAGGAGCGTCCCGACAAGGGGAAGCTACCGGGTGATATTCCGGAACCCAAGTTTGTGGCCGATCCCAACCACCGCCGTAAACAGTTGACGGGTGAGCTAATCCGTTTGGATCTATCGACGGTCGACAAAAAGAAAGGGATGTGCCGTATGGATTCTATTCGGCTAGGCAAGAATTTTGCCTATTTCATTCGTACGCTTCTACAGATCATGGAGAGCGAATTTGAAACCCGTGGCAAGGCAGTATTGGATCACCACTTTGACGATCATTCGAACTGTGGCCCTTGGTGTGCTCGATCAAAAGAGACGGAACAACAGCGGAAGGCAAGCAAGAAGTTCTATCGCAACAAGGACGAGGATTTGGAGCTCTACGACTTACTCAACACCATCGTTTCAAAATATATTACATTGGAACGGTTGAAGGAATTGGCCCATGGCCAAGATACGAATGCCAACGAATCCTTCAATAGCCTCGCCACCTGGTTTGCTCCCAAGAACAAGGTTTTTGCCAGCTCGTGCTCCCTTGGCAATCGCCTGGGTATGGCGGTCTGCATCCATTCGATTGGCTACGAACAATTCTATCGGCGTCTCCTCTTCAAACTTGGAATCAAAATGACGGACGGCATCACTCACTACTTGGGTATTATCCAGAGAAACCGGGAAAAGCGACAAACAAAGAAGCAAACGACAACTTACAAGAAAGGTAGAGACAAGAGGAAGCGCGAGAAACTGGTCAAGGAAACGGTCAATGCCTTTACCAAAAAGGCAAAAGCGAAGGGAGTCTACCGTCCTGGAATGAATATGGAAGATGTCACAATGGAGGAACTCAACAATATGACTCCAGTGGCAAAGAAACCTAAAAAAGCAAAGAAGTATTGTCCATTCTGTGGTAAGGCTGGCCACACCACCAAGAGGGCCAAGGGCTGTCTTCAGGTTGGAAAGAGTAACATTGAAGCTCCGCCAATCTACTGCAAGGAGACTGGAAGGTTGCTAGCTGACATTGTGGCAGAAGCATCCCCTCAAGGGCCAACCAGTGTTGCTGCTGCTTTGCCTGTTGAGGAGGACATTGCTTTGCCTGTTCAGGAGGAGGAAGATACAGTTGCGCAAGATGTGCTAGCTCTAGCAGGGGATGGAGCCCATGATTTGTCCTGTTTGGAAGAGTTGCCATTTGACACTGTGGTGCCTGGAACAGAGCATCTTGCTGGGCTACAGCAGGATGACACAAGTGATGAGGAAGACCTTGACAGCACTGATGATGAGGGAGATACCTCCAGAACTATCTAGATTTCTAGCTAGCTAGCGTGTCAGTTATTGCCTTGTAATGCATGTCAAACCAATCCGAAATCGTGCGGATACGTAGCTAGATGTTGCTTTGAACGCACGGAGCTTGAGGATTGAAGATACGTTCTCGTACCGAACGGTCTCATTTTTTTTTGAAGGTGTTTGCTCCAAACCAACGGTGTTGGGCTCGAGATATTTCACCTCACATTTTAGGTGCGTGCGCGCTCGCTGAATTCGCCTCTATAGTAAAATAGTACAAACAACACGGATTGAACTCACTCACTGGATTTCGAATTATTTGAATATTCTGTGAGGAGAAAAGAAAGATTCCCTCAGATCGAAATGAACAACGAAAACCTCTATCAGGCACAAACACACACCGAGTGTGTTAGAGACCTCATTCTCTCGATGCCTGCTGCTGCTATGGCTCTACAACCATATACTTATCTGCTGCTAACAGTGTAAGGCAGAGAGTAGGCGGTGGTTGCAGGGCCATAGCAGAAGCAAGCATCGAGATTTATCTGCCACAAGCAGAAGGCATTGTGTCGATCCCCACCTTCTGCCGACACCTCAGAACAACAACAGGGGTTCCCGACATCACGGAATCCCAGCGGCTTACACCTTCCTTACACTATAACAGACACTAAATGTACATACAATAGTCCGATGGGTGTGCCATCCACCGATTACAACACACCTTTAGCAGAAGGCGTCGATTCTTTTGTTGTTGTTGTTCTGTCGCGATGCTCTCGCGATAATTCATTATCTACGCACCTGTATTGTTCGCAGCCTGGAGCTGGCTTAATAATTCTGGGCGACCACCTTAAAATAGTAATTCCTTCATATTCGCTTAGATCCTTCCTGGCGATATCCCAGCTCTTCCCATCCCAAAAGGGTTCGAATCTTTTGCAATCGCTTCAAGTTGGAATTTTGATCACTGACGGGCTGCGTGAGTGGATAGACAAAGATGGATGTGCGGCTGGCGGATCGATACAACACTACATTGTCGTCTGGTCTCAACAAAAATTCCAAATCATCCAATCCACCTTCTCCTGACAAACCGGGTGGTGATTGGGTCGGTACAGTAGCATGCAAATAGTCCTCCGTCAAAGTTTCAATCTTGACGTTGGGATCTACCGCCAAGACGGCATTCACCAAGGAATCCCATGCCTTTTTGGAATTGGATGTTTCCGTCAGATACGTCCATGGAGGAGAAAAACGAGAGGGATTGCGGACCGCAGAGGTAGAAACTCCATTTTCGGTGGCAGATACTCTGGAGAGTCGACCATCGGTATTGGCGGATCGTAAATCACCCCTACAGGTCACAGATGTCCGAGACGGATCCGAAATGGTCTTGCAGCCACGACGACCTGCCGATGTCGGAAAGGACTGCTTTTGTTCTAAAGAAGCTGAATTTCCGTCAGCAGCCAGCGCATCTTGTGGTAAAAGGGTGGATACCATCACCAAAGCTCCACAACCAATTTCTCCCAATAACGATCTTCGACTAGTCCCATCATTACTTTCATTTGGGTAGTGTTTTGGTTGATGATGTTTCCGCAAATTGGAGCGTCCGTTCCATGGAACACTTTGCCATGCTAGCGCCACTGGAAGATGACACAAACCAAGGAGTAGTAGAGACTGTAGCGATCGCATGATTCTATTTGGAGGTGACAGAAAATGATATTTGAGCGAAAAGCAGAGAAAGATGGGCAACAGTTCAATTCCATACAGTACGTCGTCGTTCCTTACTAGTAGCTAGAGCTACATTACTACTAGCTACTATTGTCATTTGTTGTGTTTCTTCTTGTGCATCCAACACGTCATCGACGAAAAGATTTTCCACGGTGGAATCCCACATCTACCGGTACATTCCGCCAAATTCTCTGACTCGACCGTGGACATTCCGTTCGAAAGGATCCAATTCGAAGGCGTCAGATCCGCAGGTGCCTTGGGTATCATTTCGCGGCCACGGAGATTATATTATTCGCAGACAACATTGTGTGATATCGATTGCCTAACTACTATTTTGTACTCACAGGATAGTAACACACTTGTCTTACCGTCGCTGCAATATACAATGTTCTCGGCAAATGAAAATCTGGCATTGCGCCAACACAAGAAGAAGGTTGTGGCGTTTGTGGAAGAATGTATACCCGAAGAGGCACTGGACATGGGAACAATGGTGATGGCCATGCAGGTCTCCTGTAAGGCTCCTGGTTGCGTGCCATTGGAGACGGCCATAGTCATTGTCTTTCCGAAACTGGGTGAAGAGTTAATTGCTGGATTGCCGGAATCCTGTGGTGGGAACTACAAGACGAAAGTGTTAAAGCCCATGGTGGAAGTGACCAAAGAAGATGTTTTGGAAGCATTGCCCCCAGCATTTCCTGGAGGCAAACGGTCCATGGAAAATCTCTTCATGCAAGCCAGAGATGTCATGCTGGGACAAATCACGCAGCTATTGCCGAGGAAGATCAGCAGGGAAGAAAGATAATGGCTGAGTATTTGCAAACTTGTCTACAGGAATATATTGGCCGCGATTGTACCCCTCCCGAATGGGGTGAGCCATTTCCATCATTGTCCAATGACAACAATGATGGCACAACTATTCATGCTGCCTTGACCGACAAAGAAACCTACCGATGATTTTTTTTTTTTAACTGAACGTCTAATAACGGATTCAGACGAGATGTGCTTGAGGACGACCCACGAGCCGAGGCCCAGGTATTTCCCACAGTCAAGTCATTTCCCACAGTCAAGTCTGCTCACCGGCCACACTGGCCTCCTGAGAGGGTGCGACGCCTGTTAGCTATCTAAGGATTTGTACACTGAGGTCAGAGCCATGATTCACCACAAATCACGAGCTCTTTGTTGAAGAAACCTACCGATGATAATGGTGATATTAAAAGCGACACGCAGGATCAATCTGCAATGACAGAATCCAAAGCGAGCAACCCACCAAAGGAACCTTCAGCTTCCCCGCAACCTTCCAAAGGCAATTTTGTGTTCAAGCGACCCATTGATACCGAGGACGAACCACCAAACAGCACTCAAACAGAGGCTATCAATATTGATCGGCAGCATGCCTTCTCCTTTATGGCCGCTACCAATATTGCTCGTCCGTCTACCAACAAGGTGCCGCAGCAATTCCCTCCCGAACCAACTGCTTCCTCGTCTCAAACTATTATTGTGCAACTTGGAGAGTGACAGCATGCTCCTGGGATACGGCAATCTGGGTGTCCTTGTTGTGATCCTGACAACACGGACAATCTCCTAGACAAGATGTGATCTCATATCAGTATAATGTCATTTTGTGCAGTACGGTATCATGTCTTGCTGGAGTGGGTGGTGGGTGTTCGCATACGGAATGAACTGCCAGCTAGAGATATTCTGGTAAGTCTCTAGTAAGGTCACTGACACCATTGGTTTGTTGTCAGCCGAAGAGAAGCTAATCCTAATCAAAGTTGTTATTCAGTATCAGCAGTGCACATGGTAAATGCAACTGCTGCGGGTCGAAACAACAATCAATTGGATGTTGGAGTGACACTGGAATGAATGGAGATTGATGTTTCGAGTTGTCATGCCGTATCTCCGGTTGGCTGCATTGTGCTTGACAGCCACATAGATGCCTTCATCGTCTTCAGAGCTGATCATTCAGCTTGGTTTGCGATACCCCCAGATGTTGGTGATATTGACAAGAGCAGGGAAAAGGGCTTTACGCCGAAAAATCAAAATGCTGCAAGGCAACAAGCACAACAATTGCTGTTTGGTTCTTAAAACCAATTTCCAACATCATCAACAGCAAGGAGAGCAAAGACTAGCAACTCCAACAACCATCAAAGTCATGTTGAGATGCACGGGGAATGAATGACACAACAATCAACACAAATTTTTGGGATGGTGAATGGATCTTGAAGGCTTCGATAATAATGTCAGGTGGTGGCCGGGGTGCCAGAAGCAAGGAAAATAGGTCCTAGGTGGGCGTTTGGCGCAGTTGGCAGCGCGCATGCTTAGCAATAGCTAATGAGCTAATATGCATGAGGTCATGGGTTCAATTCCCATAATGTCCAATGGATTCTCTTTGGTCCATTTGGGCTAAACGAGGAAGTTTTTGGCCACCTTTAGTCAAGCAGACTCAAACAGAAGCATTTTGGCAGCTCTGGATTTGATTTGGCTGGTGACATGAGCGCCTCTCTCAATTTTGTTTAGGGCACTCTATGTTTGGTGCCTAACAGCGGCATGCATGGTTGGTTCAGGCAGCATTGAAGAGCATGGCCAATCTGCAGAGGTCATGGGCTCAATTCAGCCACTTGGCTTTGGTCTGGGATCTTTCAATGTTGGCGTCAGAATTCCGCACCTCGAGGGCACCTCTAAGGCATTTCTAGCTATTAATAGTACCGGTGCGGCACGCACCTCGGTGGCAATAAAACTGCACCTCGGTGGCACCGTGACTGCAGTTCAATACAGTACCGGTACCGGTACTACAGTACAAATGTGGAAGGGACATCCAGAAGGATGGCTGCATTTGGGAGTGACGAGTCCATTCACATCATAACACAGCTCAACTTTCATAAGCGAGGGCGTTGTTTTTGGAGCAGTTGGTACCAGGTAGCAAGCATTCTCAGTGAGGATTCGAAGCTTTTTGGCTGTTGGATGAATCTCGTTTGCATGATAGTAGTGTCTAGCTGGTACCATGTTGGTTCTTCCCCTCGATCATTTTAATTTAGTTCAGTTACTGTTGATTCGAAATTGCACTCCCGACCCACTCTAGATGCTGGGCTTGTTTGGCAGTCGAGTCTGGACAACACGCGAACAATATCGCGAGGGGATCTCATGGGAGCAATACCAGGAAACTCAATGAAACCAGTTGAAAGAGTGTTGCGCTGGCGTTCGGCAATTGCATGACAGACTCTGGCACTCGCTTCTTTTGGGACAGATGTGCCACCAAAGGATAACACGATATGCTTGAATTGGGATTCTTTGGCAGAAATGAACAGATCCGACAGCCCTGATGCAGAAGCAATTCTCTTGCAACTCGCGAAACGTAGCTGAAAGGACTCTAGCAGTGGCAAGTTTGCAGAACTGAGGAACTCAAAATTGTCTACAGAGAGGCTTGAGTTTTTCGAGCAAGAAAGAGAAAGTTCCTTCAATGAGGCATAGGTAGACGTCCTAAAGGCATCCGTCAGCTCTCGAATGCAACTCAGACTGCAACCGTGGAAGCACAGCGCCAACTTCTGCAGCAAAGTCATTCTTCGCACGCATGCACCAATCCCTTCGACGGATGACAAGCCCTTGCAACCCTTGAAAAGGAGATTCAAACTTTCGAGCTTGGCGCACGACTTGAGCCCCTTGGCAACTTCAGAGATGGATGATACCTGGCCACATCCGACAAAATTGAGATCCAAGTAGCGGAGATCAGGGAAAGTTGACAGACTCCTGCCAATGCTACCCACACAAGATATGCTATAGCTTGCAATGAAGCAAATCGTGAGTGTGTGAAGATTCGTCAAGCTTTCCAGTCCTCTTGCAATCACGTTCAACGATTCGTTGTCGCTGTTACTGACAGTCAAGCACAACTTCTTCAACATAGTCATACCACTAAGGCCATTATCAAAACCTGCAATGGAATCAGCATCTTCAATGAAAAAGGTCAGTCGGCAAGTTCGTAGAGTTGCGGCGGTTGACAAACCAAGAGACAGTGGCTGCAATGAACGCAATTGTCGGCACCCCCCAAGATTTATAGAGAGGTAAGACAAAGAAGATGCGAGACCAAAGGATTGGAGACCATCAACAGAGGTCAGATTCAAGCAATTGAATAGGTCAACCCGAAGTTCCACCAGGGCAGGGAGCTTCGCCGAGGCCTCCCAGAAGTGCTTCGTACTGCTCAGAGCCTTGCAATGACGTGCGTTGAGGCGCAGGTTTCGAAGATTCTGTAATCTGTCCAGCTTCAAGGCAAACTCTGCGCTCGATTGGAAACCAATTGAAGCAATGTCAAGATCTAATACCTCCAGCGAAACCGGTAAAGCACCAATGAAATGCTTGGCTTCACTTCGGAATTGGAGGCATCCAGCAAAGGCTGAATTGAGATGAGTCAGCGGTGCAGCTGACAGGGCAACACGGAAATCCCCAAGTTTCTGTTTATCGTCGCTCTCTAAGGCGACACGGTAGCCGGCTTCTGCAAACTTGCTTCTCAAGGACGCATTCAAGACGTCGTAGGCACTGTGAGAGTCAGGAGGCTTTGCAAGAAAGTTGTCCGTTCTGCCAACGATACTGTTCAGTATTCGAATCTTGTCCTGCTCCAAAGTTGCTTCTGCATCTTCCAATTTGATGGCAAGTGCCCTGTGACATGTTTCCAATGGAAATCTGGATTGTCGTTTTGCTTTTGCCGCCTTGTATTTTTTCATTCTGTCAAAGATGCCTTTGTTTTCAATTGTCGAATCGGAGCTATTCATCATCAAACGCAGATCAGACGCATTAGTCACATCCGCAGAGACCACACCATCTGTTATCCCCACAGGGATATCCGTGCTTCCATTTCTCCTTTTTGACATGGCATAGACGTCATAAGTATGCTCCTTTTGAGTTGCCTCTGACCTCGTTTTCCCCTTTAACTCCATCATCATCGCGACTTCAAATGAGCACCAGACGCGACTATAGCAAGTAGCGTGGATGTCTAGGAGCGAAACCGTTCCATGTGTCATCTCCATCGCTCTCAAGAAAGGTGTTTGGCGCGGATTGCTATTGTGGTTCTCGGAAAGCTCTGCAGACAAGTTATGTTGATTCAAAGCATAGCCACAAACCCAGTAAGAGGTTGTCTCTGGGAGTCCACGGTCAAAAGCGTGTCTCTCGAGACACGCCACAAAGTTCAAGACGCTTCCCTGCCAGCAGTGCGAGATGAAGTAGCTTGGGATCTGTGCATCTGTTGACCTCGACACAAGTTCGACATAACTGCAATTGTGCTTTCGCGTAGCACGTCGGATATAGTTGTGCATCAGATCGTACAAAGTCACCTCCTCGGGGCGCAGGAGCTTCCCCCTTTGTTTGGGATCTACGCTTGTCCAGCCTTCTTCCCTGCAACGAGTCAAAATCACGAATTCGAGATGTCGTAGTTGAGACAAAGATATCCCCCGATGCTCGGCCTTGGGTATCTCATGGTTCCCGCAATGTGCCGTGCTATATTTCCTTGATACCAAATATACATCTGAACCATTGGTTATTCCCAATTCATCCAGAGTTCTATCATCGTTCTCGTTACCGCCTTTCCCTGGCAGTCCCGACAGAACTGTTCCTTTACAAGACACTAGGACACAGTTTCCAAGGGAGATGTGTTTCCTTCGGAAAATCTCAGCCTTGAGCTCCCTCAGAGTGTCTGTCGACTCAAGCAACAGCGGAATGACGTTGTGTCGATAGCGTAGCAATATCATGCATTCACTGGCCCACAGTTGCAATGTCGGCACCTCCCCATTTGCTGTGTCAACAATTCCATCTGCAACATCTATCAAAAGTTTATTGTTCTTGAACACTTCTTTTCCCTTCCAAAGAAGATGCTGTCGTTCTGGTACAACCCCAGTAACTAACTCAATCTGGCGCTTCAAATCACTGACTCGTCCAAAGTGCAAAAGCTTGATCTGCATTTGTTCCCACAATGGCGAGTTTGCGCCGTGTCCTGAAGGGTATATCTGCCTATCTGGAGTAGGTGGCTTCGGAACGAGCTGAATCTCCAGATGCAATTGAATACCCACAAAGATACAGGCTTCTGCTTTGAGTTGGTGTTCGGGAAGACTGGGCAGATTTCGATAGCAGGCATGGCTCAATATGGTAGATTCGTCTGGCCGGAGCTCCTCTTCTCCTTGATAGTCTTGAAACAACCGAATATCATCTCTGCCTTGTGGAATGGGAAGTCTAACGTTTTTCTGGCTGACTTCTCCTTGTAACATACCATCCTGCAGTAACTTCTTCTTGATATCCCCAATAGTGGAGTCCTTGGCGATTTCTAGTCGATGAGGGGTAGATCTCTTACCCTTCTTTGTTGTCTTGAATTGAATATAGATCTCCATTAGCCCTCATTTGATACCGCTACATAGACAAATAGCCGCCATTCAGTGATTGAATCCTTCACTCGCATCTCTATCCTTTGGCATCCCTTTCATCAGAGTGCTTGTGTGTCTCCTCTCCCTGTTTACCGGATTGAATGCGATGAATATTATTAATGAGTGATGGAATTTTCGAAGATCCGAGGAAGGAATTGTGCAATTTGACATAGGTTTGACGAAAAGGACAATTAGACTATTATTTACTTTGATTGACTGAGTGACTCGAGTGAGTCGAGTCGAGGTGAGGTGACTGTCACTCGTCGATCTCGAGCGGAACAATCGTACGAGCGCGGTCCGAAGAATGGTGGAAAAGCAATAAAACGCGATGAATGATGATCGATGAAACCATGAAAGCATCCATCGAATGACGAGTGACTACTTATGGTAGCGGCAGTCATAAACGTATGAAAGCTAAGTGTTACTAGTAATAAACATGTTCTGAAGCGGGAGGGGACTGGTAATAATATGCAGAATGTGAAATGTTGGAGGCAGGATGTTGGGGTGTGCTTCGTTTCCGTACTCATCTCTACCTCCTAGAGTCAACTCCTCGGTTCGTCGTCATCCAAAAAATGGCACATGCAGAGTTTTGTTGTGTTGTTTCTTTTTCCGTCATTTTGTTTCTCACAGTGGATCAGTGTGCAGCTTAAAAGCTGGGAAGGGCTCAAACCTCTACACTAGAAGGAGACTCCGGCTCGTAGCCATAGAGCTCTCGGGCCTTCTGGCTCAACTCGGCGGTGACTTCTTCCCCGCGATCGACCCATTCGTGTCTGTTGTTCTGGGCATAGTTCAAGTATTCGGCGGAGGAGACACCGAACACACCACAGTCTTTGAGCTTCTTGGCTAATGGGATCACGTAGAAGTCAAAGAACCCAATCTCGCCCTGGTAGTCAAGAGGAACGAAACACGGTGTCAGCTAGCTAGAGAGGACGATTGACAATCATCTAAATCGAACAGCATCCTTGTTTCACGTACTTTAAACCAACCATCACTTGGGTCCTGTTCGACACGACCTTCTCGCCATGCCTTGTAATTCTCAAGGAAGAACCGTTCGTTCCATCGACGATAAATATGCCTGCAACGTGGTCATATCCAGCATGAGAACGAGCCTGGGATGCCAACACATCCAGAACAAGCTTTCACTTACCAATGCTGCATTGTATGCGACACGTCTGAAGCTTGGATCAGATGTTCCAGGACAATTGTGGCCTTTCTATTGACCGCGTCTCGGGTGGCCTCATCAAAGTCCATCTTGAAAGCTTTGTCCCAGCGAGCATTGCGAGCAGTTTTCAGGCCCTTATCTGCGATATCTGGGTTGACAAAAGATTGAGCACAATTAAGGGAGTCAGGAAGACATCTGGTAGGCATGAGGCTGCACCTTTCGTTGAACTGTACTTACCAGTTGCCATGACCGAATTCACCACGAGTTGCCTGCTCCGAGGAACGAATTGAAGCGTGGTGAGTTGAGCAAAACCAGCTAGTCAGGACTTGCAGAAAGAAGTGATGCTGGACCCACCTGAAGCGACGGAGCTCTGTCTCGTTGGTGTAGATCGTGGCACGGAGATCCTTGTACCGAGTATCCATGAGCAAATTCCAGGACAAGTCCAAGGAATTCTAAGCATGGATGTGTGCGAAACAAAATTTCTGTGAGACCTTGACGAAACATGCCGCCTTCTTTTATGGAAGGAGCAAGTCTTCACTTGCCTGCTCTGCAACCGTTCGGTTGTTGTAGACGCCAGCAAGTGCGGTGTCCTCGTGGATAAGTTGTGCGTTGCCCACGCCCGTATGATCCACGTCATGGATCAATGACGAAAAGGCGCAGGCAAACTGCATCATGGGTTCTGCGGGAATGTCGAAGCCGTTAGGGTACAGAAACGATTACGTGTTCATATCAGTACCAGTACTAGTGCCAGACGTCTTCCTTCACTTACCGGATGTGATTCCGTACGTGTGATCGTGAAGGGCTCCATCGGCGGAACCGGAATCATCTAACTCGGCAGCGACGATACGTGAAAGGAGCTTCAAAACGGATTGGGTGACATGGCTAGCATGCTCGAAATCTGAAAGGTCATTGGGTTGAAATCATTGGTGTGAGGGACGCTGGCTTCGTGGCGGACATAGTCATGTTTCAGAGACGGGTTTTGTTGGAGGCTTACTGTGAAACTCATTTTGACGATACATGCTCGCAATGGAAGCGACAAAGTCTCTCAGCTGCTCAACAACGACGGGATCAATCACCACGTTGCTGGGATCTTGTAGCACCTTTGCAGCTTCTCTATCAAACTCACGCAAGCTGATGATTTCCTGAACCTCTCCAAGAAAATCGTGGCGTTCTCCCGTAGTGGCTCGTTCCAACTTAGCAACAGCTTCAGCATCGGATGAAGATGGTCGGTAGGTTCCCGCCACATGCTTGGCATTTCGGTGGGCGACGACCTGTTTCAAGATGCCAATCAAAGAGTCCACGAACCATTCGACTCGTCGAGCTGTGCGCTGCGTGTCTTCGTCTTCAGTAGGAAAGTCCCATAGGTCCTCGCCGCCCTTGCTGAAGTCCTCACTGATGCTGGCAGTCTCCGTCTTCTTGCCCGTGCGCTCAACAGGAGACATGCCCGCCAACCAGTAAGTTTGCATCGTCCCCTTGCCTTTAGCAGTGATGGGCTCCGAGCGCTTTTGAATCCAGTTTTCCTTTCCGGCCTCCTTCAAGCACTGCGCTGTCGCAGATGACAAATGAATCCTTCCCGCGGCCCCTGTTGATTCCATACGTGCCGCAGTGTTCATAGTCTATAAAGTCAAAGGGTTAGGAAACGATCTCAGTTCAACCGCTCGCTCTCCGTCATACCGTCGAGTTAGAACTTACATCTCCAAAAAGCTGGGAATCGAATCAAATGCAAGAAGTGATGACAGTGTAAGATAATCAGTTGGTTCTGGACCTGGGCAACCAGCTGCTTGAACTGCTTGCATGTACTGTACCTGGAATCTTGCTCGTTCTCCTCGAAGCACACCAGCAGTCACAGGCCCGGAGTGAATGCCAATACGAATGTCTAGGTCTGCAGTGTCTGGGCCTAGCGATTTTTCCAAGGTTTTCACCAAGGACAGGGTCCGGCGCTGGATGTCGCGGGCGAAACGACAGATCGCAACTGCGTGATCTTTTCGTTGATCCGGCATTCCGCTTGCGGCAACGTAGCTGCAAAAGAAGAGGTATACGCGTTAGTGAGTTCATCCAGTAGCGGAGAGCCACGACGACACAAATGAACTGACCAATCTCCCACTGAGAGACGTAAGAAAAAGCCATTTGTCCGTGAGCAGCGTTCGTACAGGATGAGGTCCAACTGAGCCTAGGAAGGCAGTTTCCAGCTTACCAGTCTCAACCTTGAAAATGCGCCTCCTTTTGCTAATCGTATCGAAACTTTGGTACAGGCTCTCGAGCAGAAGAAAGACCTTTAGAACGGGGCAGGTCACAAACGTCAGTTGTGCACTCGAGAAAGATCAACCAACACGTCATGATCAGAACAGTACCTGGGGTGGTTCCCGAGTAGAACTCCAAGCTGTGAAGCCAACAATGTCAGCGAAAATGACAGAGGTTTCCGGGAAGAAATCTGCCAAGGGTTTGGTCGTTGGATCGGCATTACTGGCCTGGCCACCGTGGACTCCATCCTTCATGAACGTCTTGAGACTGCCCCTGTTCCTGAGAATGTCGGAATTCGCATTCTCCCCAATGAGCCGGTCTCTGATTTGGCCTGGGAATAAGTTTGCCACAATCGCATTGGACTGAGCAGCCCTCATGACGAGATTCTCGTTCCTCGTGCGAACGTTCCAATCATACAAGAAGAAGATAGCAATCACAGCTGCAAACGGAATGTCAGCACTGTATCAGGGTCATCAAAAGTTCATTCTGTCAAGTCGAAAGTACCTTGTACGTACCAAGGAAAGTGGAAGCAATGATGATGGCAAAGATTTCTGGGGTTAATGTGTTGTACGCTGCTTCAAATTCGTGGCTTGGGTGGACGTCCTATTGGTTTTGGACGCAGGTGTTGAATTTAACGAAAGTTGAGCGTTGTTGATGCAGCCCACTCGACGTACATAGTGCGACCGGTATCCCCGCCATTCAATGACTACGTCACTTACCATGGAGTACATGCAATGGTTGCTGAATTTGGGAAAGTCTGGGTTGATGTAGTCAACAGTGAGGTCGTAATGACGTTTGTAGTCTCTGAACTTCTCTTCCGAGTGGTCTCCTTCCCCCAGGTACCAGGCTTGAGATCCATCCACACGGTACGTCTCCACTTGCCCGCATGTGTTGCGAAGAACTGCAAAGATACCGCGGACATTGTCGGGAAGCAAGTTTTGCATGGCAGCGTCCCAAGCAAACAAGCCGTACACAAAACCAACAGCTTCTGAGGTCGGATCATCCGGGTCCGCATGATAAGTCAATGCAAAACTCGTATGAGGATGCAACACAGAGGATCCTGGTAGGTGGCTGTGCTTTGCTTCATGTTCTTCCTTGGTGTACACCAAACCATCACCTTTAGTGAGCCTGAAGGTTCCCAACACGAATTCGTTTGGAATTTTCTCGGCAGAGCGAATCGTGTTGATTTCACCTGGGTTTCCAGACGGATACATGTTATAGTTGACGGGCCTGTAGCTCATGGGTGGAGGGGAGAAGTTCACGGTGCACCAATAGTCATCACGCTGCTTATCCGTCACCATGGTTCCATTGGGCAATCTGGCCCGAACAGATCTCGAGTATCCTTTTGGAGTGAAGCTGTCGTAAACCTGAGGGCCCTTGCGGAAGCTCTCGATTTCATAACTCTCTGTGATATCCTTCTCATACCGTGCTTCCATCCATTCCTCCCAAAGGCTTCGCTCCTCATCCTTGACGTGGTTCATGATAATGATGAGCTCCGTCTTTGCTATGGACAACACGTTGTGTCCATACTGCTCAAAGCGAGGAAGGACATAGAAGGGCCAGGTCGCATTGGCAGCTTTAGCTGAGGAACTGATGGCACCAGCCAACGTCCTGTAGGCACGGCGCATGGTACGCTGGTGGTCCACCTCGGCATCGCCAAGAGCTCGTGCGAACTGCTCAAACTGTTCGAAGACAAGAATGGATGAAGACGTGTGTTAGGGTTGCATCGTCCCGCAGTCGAGGCAATGCCCTGCTTATAGGCGAGTGAACAAACTTACTGCAGTCGCAAAGTTCTTCTGCTCGGCTTTCTTCAGGTGATCGTAGGTAGACACGGTCACAGCAACTCCAGTAATGACAAGGGCAAGCAAAGTCGCAAGACGCCACATTTGCACACGACGCGTATCCTTGCGAGAGACCTTGTGGACCTCTCGGACTTCATCTCGAGACTCTTCGGCGCCGTTGGAATGAAGATGGGATGTGGAGTAGTCGCCATTGGTCGTTTCAATGTCCCCAAAACTGTCTTCGCCCGAGGCATCTGACACCTCGGAGTACTTTTCGTCTTCCAACCCCTTCAACATGTTTTTCATCTTCATTTTGTCTCGGTAGAATGATCAACCCTTGCGTCACAAAATGGTTTGTATCAATTGTTTACTAACTTTCAAGTAACTGTTCAGGGTTTCAGCTTCTCTGTCACTTTATTGTTTTGCTACGAACTGAAATTGTGAGAAAGTTTTTGGGTTGGAAGTGTTTTGCATGTGGATACAAAAAGCTAAGAGACTGCTCCATTCAACCATCAGCCAACTACTGGAGTCCACTGAGCTGTACTCTACCGGTCTCCCACCACATCAGCCCACATCACAGGAGAATACTGATCCTGGGTTGGAAGTTCCGTACTTGTATCATACCATTCGCTCCCGTTGCCCTGTTTCTTTATAGATCCAAGCTACTAGACTACCATACCGTACGAGTTTGTTTCAAAGAGCTCATTACGAGGAGTAAATAGTATGTTTGATGTTCGCCCTTTACTGCCCAAAACCTACTGGTAGCTTTGTTCAGGGAGTCACATGACCGAAAACGATTCAACATACCTTTTTTAATTACATGTAATTTAGAAGAGAATCTTGCCCTTCTTTAGAAAAGTGGTTCAAATAGCTCTCATTCCCCGTGGTTCAGCTGTTCAAGTAGGTACCAAGCTCCCATTCCCATAGTACATCGTACATTGCCGCATGCTGAGCTCCGTAGGATATATGACATGTACTATCGCACGGTACCCGTACCTACCGCTAGGTACCACTGGAACGTGACTACAGTAGTTTTAAAAATGTATGTACGAATGTACGAATGAGTAGGAAACAAGCAAGCAAGCAAGTCCTATTCGAGTAGAGAATAAAAATTTTTGAGTCTTGAGAAAATATACTACTAGTAAGTCTACGGTACCGCCATATAAAAAATAGTACTACTCCACAGTAAAATTGTAACTCAACAGTAAAATTGTATCTTGACTAGCTACACGGTACGGTACCCTAAGTCTTATTTTTGGTACCACTTTACCGGTACTAGTACCATGATGTCAGTAGTCAGTGAAACAAATCTTACGAAAAATGGAATGGGTCATTTGCCCTTCTGGTGGTAGTCTTTTTGAGAAAATTCTGGAAAGGATTTATTTATGATGATTGGGGGAAGAAGTACGAAGATCCGTCAAAAAGTTGGGCACAAGAACAGAAACTAATATTTTCACTGGAACCTGAATGTCTGCAGCTGATCCACTGCGATCCACTGCAACCTTCAAGCATCATCAAGCTTCAACAACCAACAACCAACTCTCATTTTGCCGCTCAACTCCCTCCGAAGTTGCTAATGTACCATGGCACCGCTCTAAAATGTACTCGCAATTTTTAAAAGAGGAAGCAGATTCTCAGATTCGAGCTAGCTGTCGAGTCTTGAAGTACCACAGTCGCATTACCAGACCATGTGAATCCACTCGATTCCGATGGAAAGGTCGCTCTCCGGCATCGGCATGGATGTAAAGATTCCTCATTGAACAAACGACGAAGAAGGGCTTTGCTTACATGAATAATGAGAACCTTACCAAGCAAAGCGATGCGCACCAAGATCGCCGGCTGGAATTCAACCACACCAAGAAAAGTGGAATAATGGCAGGTTACATTGAACCTCGCCTCCACCCTCCGACAAGATGCGAAGAGTTTTCCGTTGCTCAAGCCCAACCAGAAGGGTTGGTTGAAGGGACGGAAGCAGCAGCAACACAAGCCGTTGGGAACCGCAACCAGAGGCAATGCTCTCACTTTTTCAAAGTGTACTAGACAAAAACTAACTAAAGAAAAGTAAAATTCCAAGTTTACATGCCTGGAAAGATCAAGAAATGGCTGACCAAGCACTGGAAGGTTTCCTCTTCCTCTAACAAGTTTGCTCCCATGGTTGACGGTAAGTCCGGCAGCGATCGAACCATCAGTGAACGGCCTGAAGCAGGACATCCTACCTGCATCAACCGAGAGGAGCACGAACGTCAATTGGCTAAGGATGTAAGGGCTGTGGAACGATGGATTGAAATGTGGCGCCAAAAGAGGCTGGATGAGGTCGTGGCCTTATCTTGCACTGAATGTATGTACCATGTGACTCTTGACGAAGGCGCCGAAAAGTTGGAAATGAGACTCCTGGACTTTATTGAACAGATGCGGCTTTGCTATGAGTCTTTCCCTGACTATGAAAGCGTGTGGGATTCTGTGGAACCTGATCCAACCAATGGTGCCATCATCATCAAGAACTATTGCAGCACTGCTACTCATACTGGAAAACCATTTGCATTTGGACCCTATCCACCCATTCTAGCCAACGGGGCCAAAATCCGCGATGATGCAATTTCCTTGCATGTCTTCCTTAAAGATGGAAAACCTATGTATGTCAAGACTGCGTTAGAGGGTGTTCAAATTGGACCAGCTGCTTATTACACACAGATCGGTGGTCTGATCATCTAAGATACTAGTACATGTAGATTGATGATGTTGGCATGATGATACCATAGTTGGGCTGGAGAAAACAAGCTTTGGCTTTACCGGTGGCTCAGGCTACAGGCGGGTCAGCCCCCCACCCCATCCCTTGCAGCCAGAGCAATGCCAATTGGAGAAAAAAGTTCCGAGTTTGCTGCTTCTGTGGTGGCTCCCAAGTCAAATTTATAGCACTTGTATGCTTGTATGTTGTACTAGCTAGCATGTCAATAGATATTGAATCGAATCATTCTCTCAAAAGTTTCATTTTTGTGTGCTTTCAGTGGTCGACTTGCTCTGCTGCCGCGCCAGCGCCTCAACAGCACACAAATAATGTTGACTAGCTACCACGGATACCGGAAATTTCTAACAACATGTTGAATTTTAATAGTTTCTCTATTTCAATGATCGATGATGTGGACATGACGATGTCGACACCCCCTATTCTGCATTCTGCTGGTGGTCTGGCATGACAGTGGAGTTCCCAAGACCGAAGACAGCTTGTGCTTCTGCCGGGATGTCTGCAGGAAGCTGGCCTTGAAATCGGTTATGATGACATCACATCAACGTGTCAAGCTAAAAGTCAGTAAAAAACGTTAAAGTTTCAGAAAATCTCGGTTCTTTTTGCGGCAGCTGTGATGGTACTGCCCTGTTCACAGCTTCGAAAAAGAGGTAGATTCGGTAATAATAATTTTGATTCAAATATGCAGAGTAAATGGTATCTTTAACCCTATATTTACCGCATCTACAGGTCTAAAAGTGGCTCAATGGCTAAATTAATAGCAGGCGTCTCAAATGAGAATCGTCCGTTAAGTATGCTACCAGTAAACATGAAAAATGGGCTACACAGACTGACGTATGCAGCATTTGCGTTTAAGGGTTCGTTTCCTTTCGTGGCCACCCAACTCTTGAAGAACACTGAGAAAAGACCGCCACTGGTACTAAAAATCAGTAGAAAACACTGTAGGAAGCGACCCAGATCTACTCTTGGTCCAGCAACCAAACCACTTGAACGATCCACCAGCAAAAACTCTCAACACGTAGAAATAATACGACCGCTACGTATCAACACAACCCAAAAAATCACCTCCTCCTTCGCATTTTCGACAACAACAAAACCGAACAAGCGTATCAACACAACAACCTCTTACCCAATCTAGTTCTTAGTCTCGACGATGTGTGTAACTAACACCACCAGCCGTAGGCCACCGGCGATTGCCTTGGCGCCGGAGATGGTGGCCAACTCCTCTTCTATGCTGTCTCAGCGGCTTTTTGGCAATTTGTTCCCCACCGTAGAGACCGGAGCCAACGCCGCTTGTGCTCCTCCCGCTATCCAGGCCGAACAACCCGTCAACAACTATGCTTGCAACTACTTCAACAATACTAGTGTTACTATTGAGCCAAAGGAGGAGAAGCCACGCCCAAAGCGTCGCCGCAAGCCCCAAAAGCCAGGAAAGACCGCCAAGCAGAACGATCGTCACTTTGTCGTCCACAATTACCACGACCACGCAAACGAGCCAGATGAGAACGATGACGAAGAAGAACCACACCGCCGTCGTGGTGGCGTCTCAATCGCTTTTCCTTTGAAGCTCCACGCTGTCCTTGATCAAGTTGAGGCTGATGGCCTCGGCCATGTCATCTCGTGGCAACCACACGGAAGGAGCTTTGTCGTTCACAAGCCCAAGGAATTCGTGGACCATGTTATGCCCAAGTACTTCCGTCAGACGAAGCTCACCTCATTCCAGCGCCAACTGAATCTCTATGGCTTCTCTCGTTTGACACGCGGTGGCGACGCCGGCGGTAAGTGATGAACTTTGAGCTGCGGCCCTTGTTGCTGCGGCGGGTCTTGTTGCTGCGGAGTTCGCTTCCGTGTCTTTTGACTGACCACTTTGCTCTTGTCCTTTCAGGTTACTACCATGAACTCTTCCTCCGCGGCAAGCAATACCTTTGCAAGAAGATGATCCGCACCAAGGTCAAGGGAACCAAATTCAAGGCCGCAAGCAGCCCAGACAGCGAACCAGATTTCTACAAGATGCCACCCGTCGTCGTGACACCACCACACTCGATCGACGAGGAATACTCCTATGCTTCCAGCTCTCAGCAGGAGCAACTCCCATATGCTATGGCCCCAGTGGCAGCGGCACCCGTTCAAGCCTATGATCCTCTTCCAGTCTCCTTTTCCAACATGGTCGCTCAAGCACCAGTCGCCGATACTCGTGTTGTTTACGAAGCCGCTCCCGCCTCCATCCCATACGCAGCTATGCCTGAATCCATCCACTCTGTACCCGAGAGAAACTATGCCGATCAGGTTTTGGATGAAGCCGTGGATGAACTTTTCCTCCAAGAAGCTCTCATGGAAAATGAATCGAGCATCGCTCCCTGGGACGCGAGTAGTTTTGGGGATGATGCCTCCTTGCAAGATGAGCAGTTGGGCATGCTTTTGGAACAGCTCTTGGAAGAGTAGACTCTTTCTCATTGACGGTTTATATTTCATGCATTACTATCTTATTTCTAAAGGTGACGAATTGATTACGATAGATAAGTGCGTATTAGCAACTAGTTTTATTTTGAAACTTCTTCCATAGCTACTGATTGAATACATGCTTTCTGGCTCTACCAGTAGGCGGTATCACCAAATGTATTGTGTTGTTACTCGACACCGCGCTGGAAAGAATGTCCGCTCTGAGCTCCGTTCCTGCGGAACCCATCTTCATTCCCAAATAGCCCCTTAGACTACATTTGCTTCTTCAGACGATTACCATATGTACTGCCCCATCTCTTCCAATCTGGCTACCCAGACCCAGCTAGCTAGCTAGCTAGCTAGCAAGGTTCAAACCTCCGCGTACCCTCCAAAGGACATGAATACCGGCAGCTCCTTGAGAGCAATGCTTGAAAGATTGGCGCCGTCTCGGTTCCTGCGTGGTACTTGCCTACCGGTAGCCAGCACGGTGCAGGACCCCGCCACGCCAACATGCAAGGTTCAATAGCTCCCAGCTAGCTAGCGCTGTGGTCGAGCTGATCCATCTAAGTTTCCTACCTTACTCTGGCTAGTAGCTATAAATACTAGCTGGCTAGTACCGGTACTAGTAGGGCTCTGCTTCTCCCCAGCTCCCACCGCCTTCAAGCGCTTCCCATCATATTCCGCCAGATGTCCTTTCCAGGTTCCACCATCCGTGACACCAGCATTCTCATTTCTACCAATTGTGATGTCAGGTTGAACTATGCTCCATGAACAATTTTGATAGTAAATATATTGGACAACATGAAATTAAACGCTAAACAATGCTCCTTACCGGTACCAACAGTACTTGTAGGGCCGTACGAATGGAATCGAATCAAGGCCGTGCCATGGTCAAACTTTTCCAGAAGAACCCTTTTTGTCTGCCTTGGAACAGAATTTCAAGAAATAAAGGAAATGAGAACACCATGGTAAAACCCGCGCGAGACGAGTTGCCAACCATGGAGCCAACCAAAACCAATGCAGCCGCCAGCAGTACCAAGAACGAAGGATCCGTGGTCAAGGAAAGGACTTTGAAGGTTGACGGAGAGACAGGAGAGCCAACAATCAAGAGCTTTGGGTCAAATGATAGCGGTGCAGCCAGCACGAATGAACACATCAAGGAATCTGCACAGGGCGATGAAGATGTCAAGCCATCACCCAAAAAGGCGGATGAAGGAACGGGGCAACGAAAATCAATCCAATCCAACACACACCCTCTGACTTCGTCGCAGCCCTCAGAAGGCGCCATCTTGACAGGGCAGGCACCGCTGAACCCTAGCTGCCACTACACCGATGCTTCGCTTCTGGCTGATCCTACCCCTGATAAACGTCGAAATCGTGGTGGTGTTTCGCAGGCGTTCCCTGATAAACTTCACAAGCTTTTGGATCAAGTGGAGGCTGACGGTCTTGGCCATGTGATCTCATGGCAGCCACACGGACGATGTTTCGTCGTCCACAAACCAAAGGTGTTTGTCGACTTGCTGCCCAAGTACTTTCAGCAGAGCAAGCTCACATCGTTCCAACGACAGCTCAATCTGTACGGATTCCGTCGCATATCGCAAGGTAAGATGAGAAAATGCTGTTTGGCCCAACTGCTTGTCAGTCAGTGTCCCGAAACCTTATCCAGCAACCGAAATTCATGTTCCGCTTCTCAGGGGCGGACTCTGGAGGTAAGAGAATTGGCAGTAATCTTTCATGGATTATGCAAGAAGCTGATTCAGAATGTTCCTCATTGATGTGCTCAATGTTTCAAAGGCTACTATCACGAGTTATTCTTACGTGGACGCTCAGGTTCGTAGCTTTGTTCTAGTGGTACGGCATGTACATTCGGGCTGATCGGCGTAACTTACCGAGGCATTTTGCTGCCCATACCCATGTTAGGATTGAGTGCCAATATGAAGCGTACCAAGATTAAAGGAACTGTGAAGCAAAAGCGAGATCCTTCTACAGAACCAGAGTGAGTCATATCATTGCAGGGTGAACTTCGCCTGTGGCCTTCGTCGCGCTTAACTCTTTGCCATCACTTACTTCTTTCCCGTAGCTTCTACAAGTACCCACCACTCGGGAACTCCTCCAATGCCGCTGAGGCCTCCACAAATCCGCCTGTCGCCGCCGCAGGGACGGGTGTTGGGGCTGTTCAGTCACTGAAACCATTGACTGGAGGATCCCAATCTACCGGGGTTGCACAAGTGTCACTACCAATGCCGCCACTGCAGAGCATGACGCGTAGTATTCCAATCCAGCAACTGTATGGCGGCCTCTTGGGGGCAGCGCAACTCACCGCCTATCCAGGGTTGCTTGCTTCACTCGCAGCAAAGCCTGATCCTAGTGGCGGGCTGGGGCTTCAATCGGGTGGAGCTCCAAGCGTAGCTCCAGCACCAGGAAACACGTCGGCCCAAGACATGAGAACAACATTGGCAGCTCTTTTGACTGCCCAAATGGCAAGAGGTAGTGAGGATGAAAGAAGTACGAGTATCTAGCGAGGGTCGTGGTCGCTGTATTTGTGTTCACGTGCAAAAGAATGATTGTGTGGGGAGAAAATCAAATACCAATGCAGTCTCTTATTGGATCTTCGAGAGCTGCTATCGAAGGAACCGGTAATCAATCGGTATTAAAATGATAAAGGAAGGTGAATTCGTTTATCTTCGTTTGGCTCCTAGCTAGTTGGTACTTCAGAATAGCGCTGGCTCTACCGCTAGCAGCCTTCCTGGTTCAGTGTTACATCATTGCATGCTGGGACTCGACCGTCACTCGGGGCGTGGCTGGGGCATTTTAGAATGCTATCCCCAAACCTTGCCCTGGATGTTGCGCTTTGTCAGCCTCGGGACTTCGATCGGATGTCATCAGACCGGTGCGCCATCTACAGGTACTAGCTAGTAGCTAGAAGCCCCAACAATCCGAGCAAACATCCAATTATTTGCACTCCTGGGTTACTCGGCATTTTGTCTGTTTGGGAAAGTGTGCGATTAAGTGTAAATGTCTACACACCGTTAGTAGACATAAGTAGACAAAGTAGACATTGTGCGACTTTAGTAGACATTAGTAGACAAAGTGATACATTGGTAGACATTGGTAGACAAAATGAGACATTGTGAGACATTGTGAGACATTGGTAGACAAAGTGAGACATTTTTGTACTGTTTTACTGTACTGTGTAGACAAAGTGAGACATTGGTAGACATTAGTAGACAAAGTGATACATTGGTAGACATTTGTAGACATTGTGAGACATCCGGAGACATTGTGAGACATCCGGAGACATTGTGAGACATAAGCCACTTTTACAAAGGAGCATAGAACATTTAGGCAACTCTGTAATCAGATACAATAGCCTTAAATAGACAAAATGCCAAGTACCCCTGCCGAAGGCTTTCGCAACACAAGAAGCCGTCAGAGATGGTTGAACAGAGGAGGATGCTCATTTTAGAAACATCTATGCTTTTTTTGAGTATGGGCGGCGAACTTTCCAGGGCTACAGGGAAATCACGTAGGATCGCACCGTAGGCTCTGGAAAGTTGAGAGAGTCAGCCCAATGGATGTGGCTGTTCGGCTGGCAGCACTTGGGGGGCTCCCAGAGCATCCTAGCTCTGATAGAAGCCATTCTTCCCAAAGAGAGCGAGCCATATGGCATGACAATGACATCTCGCAGTAACAACCACTACCACTAATGAAGGCAATGGCGTCGCACCCAAGCAACAGTAACAAACAAACACAAACAAACACAAACATCACTAATTAACAAACTACTTTAGCTAGCTAGCTAGCTAGTAGCAAACTAATAATGTAATAGCTACTAATTACTACCGTCGATGTTGTCTCTGCTGCTATTGCTGTTGCTGTCGTCGCAATTTCTGCTGTAGCTGTTGTTGCTTATCTTTCTTCGTTTGATATTTCTGATAGCGCATTCCGAGTGCCACCACCGTGCCCTTTTGCCTTGATGAAATTGTGCTACCAATTGGTTTCAAGCCAACTTCTATTTCTAACTTCAGTAGCGTCTCCATGCAAGCATGTGCTATCCCGCTCGCCGCTTCTTTTCTCTTGCTCTTGTCACCAATTCCAGTCGGACTCAAAGCAAGTTTATTTTCTTCTGATCCAGCAATCTTAGCCAATCGTAAAGCATGAATACACTTTGCCTCGTTTTCTCCTTTCATTGTTGCAGGTATTGGAATTTGGCTGATTGCGTTCCACTTAATTGGAGTTATATCCAAGAGAAGTCGTTCAAGCAAAATTCCTTTGCATGATGAGGAATTATTCTGAGCTTGGCGATTGCGCATCAGAAGTGCATTGACATCTTTTGGTTGATTTTGCTGTTGTCGCTGTACTGATATTGGCGCTTGTAGCTGTCGTTGTTGTATTGGTTGCTGCTGCTGTTGCGTTGGTTGTTGCTGCTGCTGTATTGATTGTGGAAGCTGGTTGAACTGAGATCGTGTAATTTGGGGATTGGCTGGTAGCAGTGGTGATTGTGATATGGGTATTAGTCGTTGTTGCTGCTGCTGTGTTGATTCTGGAAGCTGGCTGAATTGTGATCGTGCAACTTGGGGATTGGTACCTAGCATTGATGGTGATTGCGATATAGATAGTGGTGGTGGTGATGGTGGTGGTGCTACTGGCTGTGGTGCTGCAGTGGGTGCTGGCAATGGCAGTGGCAGTGGTGCTGCAGCGGGTGGCAATGGCAGTGGCAGTGGTGCTGCAGCGGGTGGCAATGACACGCGAGTCTGAGCAAATTGTCTTCTTTGTCGTGGTGGGGTTTTGATAAATGACAACTTCTCCTTGTTCTGACTAGCCATTGCTTTCACTGCTTGTTGTTCCTTTTGAATCGATAGAAGGATTCCTTCAAGTTGTTGTTTTTGCATGCTAGTTTGCCTTTGCAATGCTAGCGCTTGATTCAGCTCCTTGGTTTGCTTTTCAATTTGAGCTAACTGAGAACCAACTCGATCTAGCATGGTAGCTGTTGCTACTTCTTGAGGCATAGCATCAAAATCATTCTCCAAATTAAAGTTGTCTTGGATATGCGTCCTCCAGCCTTCTAGAACAGCCCCAGGATGAACCCATTTGTCCGAATTGTTTGCATCGAAAAGCTTAGCTCTTTGGGCTGCTTGAAAAAGCTTTCTATATACTTTGTTCGTAACACCAAAGTCATCTACCAGAGCAGGAATTGACATAATGAGCACTGCTGTCACTGTGCGAAGAAAAGGTCGTAGATGTCCTCCAGATTGAAATTGTGGCAGCTGATCAGAGATTGTGTACAACTTGTCAATGAATCTGTCAATCATTCCACTCTCTTCAATTTCAGATCCCAAACACTCAAAGTTCGGAGGGGTGTAGGGGCAAGGGTATACAGATTCTTGGTAGCCATTTAGAGCTTCTGCCGCTGAAATTGATAGAACCAATGCATTCCGATCAATGTAGCTCTCCTGAGAAGTTCCAAATGAGTGACCTGATCGCACATGTGATGCATAATAGTCAATTGCTGAATGAGCAGCAAGGAAGTTGATTGCTCCCTTTTGCATTGATTTAGCAGAGAAGCTGTTGCGAACTTCAGTTGATACCTTGGCTGGAATGAACTTCCGAATGGTGCCAGTAAGCTTCTTTGTGACAGAAGAATCACTGATTTTGTGGAGCTTGGGAAACACCCTTTGTGCACGTTCGAGCTCGTCAGGACATCTAAACAAGCCGTCTTCCAAGAGATAGTAACAACCCATGGCATGGTACCAGCATACTCTGTAGTTATATCTGTGTGGCATCATTGGCATGGAGTGTGTGTTGATAGTTTTGATATCAATCCATTGGGTATCCACTACTTTAAAATATGGGTCCCAAAGCCAGTCACTATAGGAATTGAATTTGGCTTCTCCACCACGAGCAACAGCATGCCATGTCATTAGTAATTGAGCCCGCTGCTCATAGATACCAGTATATCCGGATCTCGTATCATCCTCTTTGATCATGCTTTTAATGATTGCATTTAGATCCACTTTTGATATATCGCCATTGATAGCTCTGGAGTTTGAGTTGTTGTGTGGCACTTCAACTGGTTGATAGCCAGGTAAGTTTTCAAGGTACAGTGGTCTCAGTGTTGTCGTTTCATCTTCATTATTATTTTGAGTTCTTGTAGCATCTTTTTCTAGCCCTTTTCTTATGACGGACCACCAAGAGCTGTCATCTCCGATGTGACCATTCCAATGAGGATGATTGGGAAACTTTTCCCTCAAAACTTCCTTAACTTTCCCAGCATATTCAACTTTGGTTGATGCTTTCAGATATTTACTACGCTCTTGAGTTGACCATGAATGAAACTCAATTTTATCAAAGCCACGGGGAATGCTAATATTGGCAAGCCAAGAACAGAACTTGGTAAGATGCGCCTGTAAATTATCCTCTGCAATGTAAGTAGCAGTCGTCTGATCCATTATAGGCTCTTTTCGAATAGTTTGATATTTGTTATACAACTTGATAGCAGCATTCTTTGTGGCATTAGATGTTGGTGCTTCTCCCAATTTCTTCTCCCGAAGAGGTTGACTACTACATGCATTAGTTGTTTGACTCATTTTCGTTGCTGTACAGGAAGAATAGTATTAAAATGCTAGTATCAACTAAGTTTGTTGTTGGTGTTGGTTATCGGTTCTCTTCTCTGTTTGAAAAGCAACAGGAATAGCCAAGTTTGTTGTTGGTGTTGGTTATCGGTGTTGGGGATTCGCGATTAGGGATTCAACCTGTACCTCTGTACTAGAATTTGATGCCAGTAGAAAAAGCCAAGGAGCCCACTTTTTCAGTAGTATCTCAATAGCAACAGTAACAACTAGAAGAGAGCTTAAAGCAACTAACATACTACTGAAAAAGCGGTCTACTATCGAGTCGAAGAAGCGAAGAGGAGCCTATCGAAGCAGTCAACGAAGCAGCCAATCGGTAGCAGGAAGCAGCGAGTAACGGCCGACGCCGAAACCGACGCCGATCGCGACGCGAGGAGAAGAGTGTCAACGACGACGAGACCGTCGAAGCGCAAGGATCGATAAAAGACCAAGCCTGTCGAAGCATCGACAGCAACAGCGAAGCCCTTCAGAGCGACTGGAGGCAACGCGACGACGCAGCGAGCGACGACACGACAGTGAAGGATCCGAGGACGGATTCGAAGAACAAGATTGGACGCCGAGACCGTCGTGCCGATAGGAGCTGCAGTCGACGACGACGCAGCAGAGTTTCATCGGCAGAATCCACAAGGATTGTCGATAGAAGAACCGACAGCATCCAGCCGGAACTGTCAGAGCCAACAACAAGCGCGAAAGCCATAGTGCCAGCGCAGGGGCCAAAGGACGGGCACCCAACAAGGAATCAACAATACAAAGAAACGGGTTTGGAGTGGAAACGACCGCACAGTGTGTGAAGCAATCGTTCCCTCCTTGCAACATCTAAGAAGCGCATAATGGGGTCTCGCGAAAACAGCGAGGTCTGGAAGGTACCGAACGACATGCGTCCCTAGTCCCTCGTGTCGGGGGCAAAAAATGGAGCTACCTCCATATGGAGGATGCTCTGTCAGGCTGATCCAGTGGTCCAAATAGTGAGGCTAGGACTTGTATTGACCATAAACTTCCTTTATACAAGTTAGATGCATTCTGGGTTGACTCCTGGATGAGTTTTATAGGTGGAGGTACCTCCATTTGGAGGTACCTCCGTGGAGGTACCTCCAATTATCTTTCTTTCGCTCCAGCACACCAACACCATCCAAAAAAGGCTGTAGCAGCAACAACAGGCAAAGCAAAAGGACTTGTTAGCGTGTTGGCAACATGGTGCCGTTCAATTCTAGGTTTTCATGCGTACGTACCGTCATTGTCAATCATTTTCGATCATTTTTCGTGTTGGCGGCAGTTCGAAAATAGCACGACCGGTTCGATTCCTTCGTCACTCTTTCTTTGGCTCCACACACCATCCAAACAAAGGCTGTAGCAGCAACAACAGACGCATTAGACACTGCCAACAAGCAAAAGTAGACAATGCTCTCGAAGCAACTCACCCACAGTCTAAGACGTAGGCTGGCATGCTGCCATTTCTTTGAGGTGTTCACACCAATGATCTGGGCAATAGAACACGCCTCGAGAGCTTCGTCCATTCGCATTGTAGCTATCTCCTTTGCAGCGAGGGTGTTGGCACTTCTTTTGAGTGGCTTTGGAGCAGCCACTGAAACGACAGGTGCGACGCTTGGGTCTGCCTCTTCCATCGTCTTCTCGATCAGAGTTGTCCGCAAACACGTGCTGGGTAACAACCGACTCGACTGCTGATCCAACAGAGGCTGCGGAAACAGGGGAGATGACCTCAGCTCCTCTCCCATCCAAGTCGATAAGAGCAGGTAGCTCATTGTCGATTGATATGTGCATGCTGTCACCAGCATTAATATCATCCGAATAAGTGTTCCGGCAGAGATCAGCAGCCAATCTGTCGACGTACTGGACAATAGTGATCTCTTTTTGTGCCTTGTCAGCAACACCAAGTTTGAAACACTTCCAGCAGTCAGTTATGACCATGCCAATCATGGTTGTTGCAATCCGAAACCAACCATCCCTTGTAATCCATCGCTTTTCTAGCTTGAGAACGCCTTGCCGGACTTGATTGTGTGCATCAATGACATTGCTGTCATTGAAATACTCGGAGATAACAGCGGGTCTCTCAACTTTCCTCTCACAGAGGTTGCCAACGGAGTCAGGAAACCTGGCAGTGTACGGCTCACCAGGCTTTGTAGAGCCCGCATTCTTGGTTGCCAGTAAACAGAGCACTTTCTTCCTGTTGTACTTGTAACCGATGGCAATCATTGTTTGTCCTGTTGCAGGCGACTCACATTCCATAACCAAGGAAGAACCACTTGGCCAGGTCTTCATCTTCTCTTCAATCTGGGTGTTAGGATAGTATTTGTGGTTCGTTTTCATCATTCCACAGTATTCATAGTTGTTCTCATGCATCCACTCGACAACAGGGACACTTGTAAACCACGAGTCCCCCTTGAAATATGCTGTTTCCATTGCTTCAGCTGCTTGCTTGCGCGATCGGTGCTTGGTGCCGCCGTATGCCGTAGCTTTCGCGAGTCGCATCGTGCATGCTGCCGTTCCACCAAAGCGATCGGAGAATTCCTTCTTTGCCATCGGAGCTGCTCCTTCTTGGATCTCTGCATGGATGATAACACCTGTTACGGCACAAGCAACAGTCTTGAACTCTGTTCCAAGTGGTTCGGGCTTCCGCTTGATGTAGGAAAGGTGTGGCAGATTGCCATACCTGCTTGAGCGTGGACGGTAGGAGCTCATGGACTCATCAAAAATCTTGATCTTGGAGGAAGCCATGAAGCGCTTCCGCTTCTCATTGAAGCCATCTATAAGCAGCCGGGTCATGTGCCAGCGATCCTCATTGACGTCAGCATCCAAATCTTGGAATGCCCATGGGAAAACTGACTTGATATCCTTGAAGCGATAGAATGGCATCAACTCCTCTCCATGAATGCCAAGATTGATCGGCTCGGTAATCGTCCACTCTTTTCGATGCTGCTCTTTTTCGAAGAGCTCATGGCCACCAACTCTGTAAGCTGCGGCAGAGGCGATGATGCCAATGAACTTCCACCACTCATGCTTGGAAACTTTGCGCATGAAGTTGCAACCTTTTGGGTTGGCCTTTTTCCTTTCCTCATTCACAACATCGATGCGTTGGTTGACTTGTCTCCTTTGCTGATCAGCATCTCCAGGCCACATAAACTGCAATAGCTTCATGTATGGGTAAGCGTAGTGAAGGTTGCCCTTTTCGACTTTTTCATTGTCAAACTGGCTGAAGTCAAATCCAAGCAGGCCAACTTCTTGATAGTCTTCGATAATCATGTCGGGATCAGAGTTCTTGACAATTTTCCAGGTGTACGGTTCAGGATTCCACACTTGAGTGAGAGCATGTGTGGTCTTTTCCTCCGGCTCTCGGCTTCCTTGAAACTTGACAATCCACTTGGAAGCATCCTCTTTTTTCCCGACGATCTTGCCATGGCGAGGAGTTTTTCCTCTGGTCTTGACCGTTGCCCCAACATCCATGGGAGGCTTGTCTGGAGTGAAATCTACAGACCAACCAGACCGAAGCAGCTCCTTCTTCTCTCGTTTGTAAAGGATCATTCTCTCTTTGTGCTCTTCTTCACGCTCGAAGTCCCGCTCATCAAATTCATCGATATCTTCTTCGAGCTCGTTTGGAACACCAGTGCCAGATGTGGAGGTATCCGTATCGTTGTCTGGGACTGTGACAACTGGTGGAGGGTTTGATGATCCGGACGAAGACGACGACCGCAATGAACCAGACTCCACCGATGAACCAGACTCCACCGAACCAGACTCCACCGATGAATCAGACTTCGCATCCGACGCCACTGATTGCATTCCATCAGCTGTTGGAAACCCTGCATTTGACTCCTCGTCGTCACTGGTGGCTGCTTGGTCATTCTGATCCACCAAGGACTCAGAAGCTTGCTCTGAAGATTCAGATTTGTTGCTCGACAAGTGCTGCGTCCAATCGTAACTGGGACTGGATGTCGAGGCAGTGGATTGGTCATTGGAAGGTGCTCTCGTGGGGGCAGATCGACGTGGCCCTGGAGTTGGACAGATCCTGTGGTTGAGTGCTGCCTGTCGCTTGGGGCGGTTTGGGGAGCACACATCATCAGTGGGTGTTGCCGTGGGTGCCGACACTGGCTCTGGCTCTTGTGCCGCTGCAACATCTGGAACTGGGCCCGGTGCCAATGCTGTTGGTGTTGTCTGGAGCCCCTGTGGTGGCTGAGTTGGCCCTTGTTGGTCTGTGTGCGAAAGTTGTGCCGATTTCTTGATGACCTCAGAAGTAGTTCCATCATCATTTTCAAATCGAACTAGCCAAACGTATTTCACACCATCGGCCCGATCATGTCGAACTATTTGCCCGTATCTGTGTGGCTTTGCTCTCTCTTTCACCCACAACCCAGCCGTGAAGTTTCGTTTCCGCTCTTTTCCCATCGTCAAGCATTGATTTGAGATCGAATCGATTTATGCGCCTCCACGCTGAGAGGCTCTCAGAGTGGATTGAATCGTTCGATTCGACGGACGATTGGAAGCTTCTTTGTGCGCAAATCCAGCCTGGAAAACTTTACACATGAAGCGCTCCCATGATTCTATCTATAGCAATGCGGCGAGCCTTCCTTTGTGGAGCTTTCTCGGGTTTATCATCGTCTTCATGAACAAAAACTTGAGAGGGAAAGCACATAGGTGATTGACACTCCAGCCGCGCTTTTGGTGCTGGTTGGAGGTGAAATCCAGTCAAGTCACGGACCCCGAATACTCTTTGACTATATAGTGGAGTAGTGTTCTTCCAGATTTCGAAGATTCGATTCGGAAACGATCGACGTCTCTTTCGCACGCAAACAGCAATCATTATTCGATCTTTCCGCCCAATCGTAACAAAGATGGCCGAAACAGCGGCGTTAGATAGGACAATGGCTGCTATTTTAGTTTCAGTGCTAGCTAGATGCATATCAGCGGCACTTGCCAACCGCTGGCAATAGGTGTGAATTGTGTCATTTGGATAGACCGGATTTGATGCTGTTTCTTCTTTTGTTCGATGACGTCTATCTATTTTCATAATGACGTCCATTGCCGCTTCCACTCTCACTCCTCACTCCTCACTCCTGACCCTCCGCCACTTCCACCACAGGCAAGCAACCCAACAACAGCTTCATACTCCTTCCTCGAACGATTGCTCAGCAAGGGACCTTCATTTGGAGCAGCAAGATTTTGACCATCAATCTGACGCAAACCAAGAAGTTGTCGACCGGCCACCTCCTCGACTGGTCCTGCTTCAAGATCAAACAAAAATCCTCCATTCCGAGGAGGTTGAGGGGGTGCAGGAGCCAGAGCGGCGTCAAACTCTTCTTCCTGTTCGTCCCAGTCCTCGACAAAGTTTCCGTGGTGGATCCGAGGGGGGATCAACTTGTCGCATGAGACGCAGTACTGGCCACCCGCCAAGTATTTGTCAACCCATCTGGCTGGAAAGAGGTAGGGCCAGAGCTGGAACAGGCGGTTCCTGAGGAAGTGAGGCAATGGAGCAGGAAAGGAAAGGAACACCCAAGTCCTTGGTAGCGGTGGCCCTCCATCTGTCACAACAACCTTCTGGACAGTCTTCCATCCTTCATAGAGGCCAATGCCATCCCCGCCCATGAACTCTGGCATGGGATCGAACTGGAGCTGGGCATGGGCCTGTCGTTGGAGTAGTGGAGGAGGTACCAGTGGCACTGGAGGCAATCTGCCATTGAAAGGACCTTGTCGATGGTGGCCAGCTTTCATCCATCGAATGTACCTGCGGCGTCTCTTGTGCCAAGCTGTTGTTCGACGGCGACGGCGACGATTTCGGTCGTTCATGGTGTTGGTTGCTTTGACTACGAAATGATTGATGGATTGTGGCAACTTTCGGTGCGCTGCAGCGAAATCGAAATCGTGGAAGACTCCAACTGGAAACGATCCGGTGAGTAAATGATGGACGATGCCGGTTCAAATCAACACGATGCTATACTTGTTATTGCTACTAACTACTTTCTTCTTTTCCAATGGCGAATATAGCGATGGGAGGATGGGCTCTCAATTCTCAGTCATAGTAATCCTGGGAGCACGGGAAAGTGTGGAGTTCATCGTCGTCTTGGCCAAAGTCAGGATCAGCAGTGCGGGAAATGCCACGGCGGCCACGGCGAGTGCTACGAGCAGTGCGGGTGTTGGTGGCAGCAGCGCGACTATTGTTGGTAGAGGTTGCAGCTCGACTGTTGTTGTTGTTGGTTCCACGTCGGGTGGTGGTGGTGGTAGTGGTGGCAACTCCACGGCGAGTGTTGTTGACCATGGCTGGAACCTCATCGTCGTCGTCGGAGGAGTCAATATCTTCTTCGCTGTTAGCCTTTTTCTCTTCGGTATCATTCGACATCCTTGTCGAGTCATCTGATGATGTGTTCAAGTCCACGGTGGGGCCAGTGGATCGAGCAGGAAGTGGCACAGTGGCAGCTTGGACTGGAGCTGCAATAATAGGAGCCGAATTTGCAACTGGAGCCGCAACTGGAGTGTCAGGGCGGATGATGGTGACAGGAGTGGCTTGTCCAACCTCGCGATACTCAACCTTCACGAAGGAGATTTCGATGGCACCATCCTGCCCTTGGACGCTTGCGTTGATCTTGAAATAGAGCTGGTTGCCATTGTTTTCAACAGCAATGATGACATTGGTGGGGTCGATAACTCGGAGCGACATGGCTGCTTGTGGCTTCCAGTTGATGGCGTGCTGGGATAATGAGAGCTTCCACTCGATTTGCTGTTGGTTGGTTGGTTGGTTGGTTGGACTCATTTTGGCCACGCCGACCGTTGGAGTCTCTCATTGGCGCGGAACTCAAGTTTTGCTTGTGAAGGACTTGATTTGAATGCAATTTAAATATCATGGAAGCTTGTTGAGTCGACTCAATTGTGCGAAAGAGAGAGTGAGTCAACCCCAGCAGCCCGCCAAATCGAACATGGAAGACGATTCTGTTGCTGCTGTTGCTGCTATTGCTGTCGTCTGTTAACTCACATTTTCCTTCTCGCTACAATCAAGTTATGTGGTCTCTCCGTGCTTCGCAAGTCATTGACTGGGTAGTCACCACAGCAGTCCTCTTTGCTATCGCCGTGGGTGGTGTCATCCTCTTTTGTGCCAAGCATTTGTTTGCAGCAACTGGATATGTACTGCATATTGTTGCGGAAGAGCATCTGGACGAAGCTGCGGTTGCCTACTGTCGTCAGAAGGGCCTCATCAAGGAGAAGAAGTCTGTCACCATTGCCTCGCCTCTGCGGAAGCAAGGGAGTACTGTCCCTGTCAGGATCATCCCTGCTTGGGCAAGTGTAACTGACATCGATGGAGTAAAAGCCGATTGTCTCACCAATGCGTCCTTTCGCTTCAAGCATGCTTTTCGGCCTGATTGTGATCATGTTCAGGGCTATGTGTTCTTGCAGCAGTTTGAATCGACAAAGCTACATCGTATCTACATAAAGGGCTTCAGCCATGTCAAGAACACTCACATTTCCATGAAAGGAGATCCCTTTGACGGTCCGGTGTACCTTCCGATCGATTGTGGATACACAACGTACGATGACATTGGAAAGAGTCAAAAGAGAGGTGTCAAACACTTTCTTCTCAGACTTGAATTCGATGACAATGATGAGGGCCTCGAGTACATTCAAATCATTATGGAGATTGGCAACTCAAGCTCCAAGCTCAGTAGTTGCCTTGCTTTCCAGCAGCAGCTTATCTTGGCCTTGGAAGGTGGCGTTGTCGATGCAGAGGAAGAGACGAGCGAATTGGTAAGTTTCATGGAGGTACCACCACAGTTGTCATCTCCATTGTCCGCCTTGGAGACACTAACCCAAATGCTGTTGTTCTCTCAGGCCATGTAACTCTTCCACATCATGGGTACACCACTCTGCTACTCAGAGTGGTCCCTGTGTCCATGTTTAAAGGTCTCAACCAAATGGAGGTACCTCCATTTTGGCAAAAATGCAGCCATGTTGTCATTGTCGCCGTATTGTGTGGCTATCTCATGAGCGGCAATGCAGACATCTAGGACCCATTAGTAGTAAGAGTATATAAAGACCTCTATTAGGTTCAAAGATGAGCTTAATCGGCCAAGTATTCATGGAGATAGAGCCATTTTAGTGGTGGCACCAAATGGTGGCAGCTAGCTCCATTTGGAGGCACACCGACACGAGGGACTAGGCGATTGGTGACGTCATTGCTCCCGGATTTGGATGGTGTTTGTTGTGGAACATGTACTGGGTTCTCCATTGGGTGTGGCAGTATGCACCGTTTTGGAACCCTGCATGCATCCTAAATTCCCAACCCCATAGGTACCGACAATTTTGTGGTCCGTTTTGTCCCCTATGCCATACCAATGAACATGGAAACTACATACAGAATCCGGTACAGAGCGGTTTGGGGGTTAGCTTTTGGTAACCACACTCACATTTTGTAAGGTCGTGTAGACTTTGCCTAAGGTATTACAGTTCCTTTATACGGCTAGCGATCGGCAATTACTACTAGCTAGCTACTACTACTAGTTGTATCATGGGTTATTGGTATTGCGACTACTGTAAAGCTTGTTTGAAAGCAAGAGGGCATAAGTGCTCACACCAACCAATCTCGGAGTTGCATTGCAGCAAGGCAGATTTCACTTGGCATTGGCAAAGCAACAAGAAGTACTAGTACTAGGAGAAAAAGGGACATGACTACTGCAGGGCTTGGTGCCACTGACACTGGAAGACCCGCTAAAGCACCACGGCAAGTTAGAAGATCTGCAGGAGAGGAGAGAGGCACATCAAGTCAAATGCCAGCCATTCCACAAGACATGGTGGAGGAAGATCAAATTGCTTGGGCCATGCAAGATGGTGGTGGTATTGGTTCTGAAAGCGAGGAAGACAATAGAAAAACCAGCAGCTGACCCGCGGTTTGGTACCCGAGATGACGGCAATGAGGAAGCAAAAGAGGAGGCAGATGAGGAGGAGGAGGCCATAGAGGCAACTGATGAGGAAGGAAGTGACGACGATTCGCAAGAAGACACAGAGATGATGATAGTAATGAAGATGATTGATGAGACCAGCAGTGGTGGATCAACAGCTACCCTGGTACAAATTCCCAAGAATGGAACCATGACAATGAACCTCCAGACGATAGGAAACAACCAATTCCGGCAATATTGTGCAGATTCAAAGAAGACGTTCTCCCCTTGGATAAGAAACAGGCTCGGGGTGTCAAATTGATGGATATCCTTCGAAAGAACAAGGCGCCTTTGACTGCGTATGATGATGTGTTGACATGGCACTTGGATGAAACTGGAGCCCGATTGGGTGACGAGAAGCTTGTGAGGTTCCGGAGTACTTGAGCCGGAAAAAGTTGATGAGCTTCCTCATGACAAATACAACATGGGTGGCAAATTCCCTTTCACAAAAGACCTTGTGCTTCC